GCCTTCTGTCTCTGTCCTTTGGTGCCCAGTGTCAGAGGAATCACACAGCATCACCTCCCCACTAACTATCCGCATGTCTATCTTCAGCCCAATGACTATTTTAGGAGGTTTTCAATTTCTAAGGACTTTTTTTCTTACCGGTCCATTCTCCCTTGAGTGGCTCCCATGTTACCATTTCCTCATGGCAGATCCCATCTGATGCTGATGTCTTCAGATGCTGCAGGTCTGTGCCACCTGCTCGCGTCTGCAGCCAAGGCCCAGCCCACACCATGCTGGGTGGCTGGAATCCCGTCACAGAGTGCAGAGACGCCCTGCCTGAATCACTGCCTCCGCAACCCCGGGAGCCCCTTTGTGGTGTCCAAACACCGGTGGGGTCTCACTTTCCACTCCCAGGGGGACTGCAGCATGCCCTGCCCAGCCTCCAGCTCCACATGGGCGTGCAGAGAGGCATTCCTGTCCTTCCCCGAAACACCTTCTAAAGCCAGTGGCAACTGCATCATTCTGTATTTTTTTTTTTTTGAGTTGGAGTCTCACTCTGTCGCCCAGACTGGAGTGCAGTGGCTGCTCCCAGCCACCGCAGCCTCGACCTGCTGGGCTCCGGCGATCCTTCCACCTCAGTCTTCCAAGTTCCTGGAATTATAGGCATGCGCTACCACGCCCGGTTGATTTTTTTAATTTATTGTAGAGATGAGGTCTTGCTGCCCAGGCAGGTCTCGAACCCACGGTCTCAGGCAATCCACTCACCTCAGCCTCCCAAAGGCGTGGGATTACAGGCTGAGCCACCGAGCCCAGCTATTCTGTATATTTTTATTTAGAAATCCCACCCTTGCTGCCCAGCCCTTACCCTGCTCACTCCAGTGAGCTCTCTGTGGGGCACGGGCCCATCCCACAGGGCTTTATCCTTGGAGCCCATGCCTTCCTGTATATTTAAGGTTAGAGCACATGCAGGCACAAAATGACATTTTCATTCCATACAAACCTTTTCTTTTTCCAACAGTTTCACAGATGCAGTGTTTTTCATGGACGGTTTTCTCCACCATCTCAGGAGCATGAGCAGTGTGGCCCGAGACATCGCTGTGTCCTGCACGGGCTTCTTGTGCTCCGCATGCATGCCCCGTGAGTGACGCTTTTCATGTCAAGACAGGCTTCCGAGGGCCCATCATCAGCTCCCACTTGCTCAGCTAATTCTGATTTCACATTTCCCCAGAAACCAGGCAGGTGGGCACTCTCAGGGCTCTGTTACTTGCATGTGGCACAGGTTTCCAGTCCTCAAGCTGGAGGTCCTGTTGACGGCTCAGTGCCCCGCTGTCTGAGGGCTAGGGAGGACGACAGCCAGCCTCTCCTAGATGGGGCCTCGGGCCCCACATGCCTTCTGTTCTGGTGAAGCTGGGAGCTGGCCTGCGACCCCAGCTCCTGCTGCAGCCTGGATGGTGGCTTCCTCTCGCTTTCTCAAGTGGCTGCGCTGAGGAGCCGCCCCCACGACTGTGTTCTGCAGTGCACAGAGTGCCATCAGCACCTCTGCCCATGTCCGCCAGGTCTCGGTACCGGGGAAAACCTTGTCACCTGGGAAATGGCTCCATGGTCACCGCCATGTTGGCCCAGGGTCCACTCTTGACACTGGATGGGACGCTGGATGGGAGTTCTGGGTGAGTCCAAGCTCTGCCCCTGGAGGAGGCCATTGATGGGTCTGTAGCAACAGGCCGTCTGGCCCCACAGGGAGCACTTGGGCACTTGCGTCCAGCAGGCCAGACCAACCAGCCCAGCGACCCTCGATCCCATGGTCACAGCTTACCACACCCTCAACCTGGGCCACACACAGGCCAGGCACCACCAACGTCACTTGATCTGTCCCCTGCAGACCTCAAGGTGGTAGGAGGACAGTGGCTGGTCAGACTGGCGTTCAGGGACACAGCACCACACCTACGAGCCCACACAGGGCCTGATGGTGCCACAAGCTGAGACTGCAGATCCTGAAGCTTGGGCTTCTCATCACAGCTGTTTCAAAACCATAGAGAGGAAAGACCAAATATAAACAAGGGCAACGTCGAGGTGCCAGAGTGGCACTCCTTCTCTAGACTTATGTTTTGAGATTTCCAGAATGAGTAAGTTGCCTGTTCATAAGCAATGAACATCTAAGTGATGGCCACCAGTTAGCTTAAAAGGAGCCCCAAATATTGGAACTGGTAAGAACTTAATGTATTTGGGGTGTCATTGTCACCCAGGCTGGATACAGTGAAACGATCATGATGACACAGTCTCGACTCCCTGGGTGATCCTTCCACCTCAGCCTCCGGAGTAGCTGGGACTATAGGCACGCACCATCACGCCTGCCTCATTTTTGGATGTTTATTGTAGAGACAAGGTCTCGCTATGCTGCCCAGGCTGGTCTTGAACTCCTGGGCTCAAGCAATCCTCTTGCCTCAGCTTTCAAAAGTGCTGGGATTACAGGTGTGAGTCACCATGCCTAGCTTCTCTTTTCAATTTCTAAGAATTTTTTTTTAAGAGATGAAGACTTGCTTTGTTGCCCAGGCTGGAGTGGGGTGGCACGATCATGGCACACCACAGCCTCTACCTCCTGGACTCAGGTGATCCTTCTGCCTCAGCCTCCTGAGTAGTTGGGACTACAGATGTGCACCAACACCACACCCAGCTAACTTTTTTTTGATTTTTTTCTAGAGACTGAGTCTCACCATGATGTCTAGACTTGTCTCCAACTCCTGGGCTCAAGCAATCCTCCCGCTTCAGCCTCCCAGAGTGCTGGGATTACCGTGAGCCACCGTGCTCAGCTGGTAAGGACTTTAGAAACCACGGAGTTTACCCTTTTGTCCTAAAGACGAAGAAGCCAAAACCCAGAAGGTATGTGTCCTGCCCACAGCACTGCCTGGGAGTGGAGACCTCTGTGGAAGCTGGGCTTTTGGCTCCAAGACTAGTGCTCCCTACTAGTCACAGATATGCTTCTGGAAAGTGCACAGCTGCATATCCTGCATGTCTCTCCCCATCCCCTGGCAAAGCCATATCACCACCTAGGGGGACACCAGCAGGGCAGGGAATCACACAGCCTCCTTCAAGAGGCCACCCTCCCTGCGCTGGTCCAGGGACTACTTCCCATGATTTCTGCTTGCTCTTGCTATGTGATGCTAACAGGGGCTCGAGTTTTGGAAGCAAAAGCTGGACACCGAGCACTTACCTTGTCACCTGGGTATACCATGGTGGTCTAAAGAAGAGTTGTCCCCACGGGCCTCCCAGGCAGCATGGTGGATGGCACGCAGGCTGTGCAACTGGGTGCTTTTCTCGTGGGCCTTTTGCTTTTCTTATTCTACTTTCCACGAATATAAGAATGATAAACTATGCTGTCTATATGGATCTATCTGGATTATTCTTGCTGCAGGTCACAGAAAATCCAAGCAATCTGGCTTACTCAAGAGCGACCATTTATTGACTTGCATAATTCCAGTCTGAGGGGTCGCCTGAATCAGGCACGGTGGGATACAGGGGCTCCAGAGGTTTGGCTGGGATCCACATCCAGTTCCTCCATCTCTTGGCTCCATGGATCTGTTCACACAGAACCTCAGCTGCACCGCATTGCCCCCTTGGCAGGGGCCGCTGTAGCTGCTGTTGCCTAGCAGGAGGGAACAGGGAGGACATGTGCTCCCAATGGGGGCAAATCAACAAATAAGCAAACCAAACCAGATGGGAATCTTTCAAATAAAAGAAATATTCTAGAGGAGAGAACACAGGCGAGGAGTTCGGGGGAGTCGGGGCTACTCTGGGGTTGAAGTGGCTCCTGACGTCAAGCTGAGCACCCAGGGACACACATGGCCAGCTGTGCCGGGTCGGCCTGGCAAGAGCCTGGGGCCAGGGCTAGACTGTGGCCTCCAGATGCTGCCAGCCTCATTGCATTCGTGGCAACCAGGAGAGGTCTGAATTGACTCAGCACATCTGTCTGGGGACAGTCTTCTCTCCACCACAGTCTTTTCATTGTAAAACCCATGAGAAGGCTGAGCATCTGGGGACATTTTCTGCAAAGTATGCACGAGGCTGCCTCAAGGCATCATAATGAGCTTAAAGTACTTCAGTAAAACCCTCGGCTATAAAAATAAAATTTCCAGCGCATATACATTTGAAAAAAATAACATCTCCACTTAAATGCTTACTTTGACTTCTTGCCCAGGACCAGCTAAAGCGCTGCTGTTGAGAAAGGGCAGTTCAGCCAAGATTCAGCGGGCTTTTCAGAAACAGAACTGGGGAACTTGGGAATCCCAAGGCACTGGGCACCGCGAGCGTGCACATCTGTGGGGGACACGGGCAGGGACAGTCATCCCAAGCTCAGCTCCCTCCCGGCCCCTGCCACAGCAGGCGAGGGTGGGTGTGTATCCACAAAGGAGGGGCGAGGCTGGGAGGTGCCAAGGCAAGGGGGAGTTGGCTCTCTGCAGTGTGACACCTGGCCTGAGCTGTGATGAGCACTTCTTACCCCAGGCTGGATGACTCTGGCCTCTGCGACCTGAATGAAGCTTTCCAGCACTGCCGGCCAAGGACCTGGTGCCCAAGCGCAGCTGTGCCTGTGCGTGGTCCCTCCCAGCAACTCCTGGGCAGAATCACGCATCCAGCTTCTCCCTTCCAGCCCACTCCTCCCAAATCTGATACCACCCATATGGGTCCATTGTCCATTCAGTCCCCCAAGCTCCCTGGACTGCTGGGTACCTCCAGAGAAACACAGTGGGCGCAAGGCCCGGGAAGCCAGAGCCTGTGGGGGCGGAGTCTGCAGCCCCCAGGTGGTATAGAAGGGGCTGCTGGTTGGCCTCCACCTTGCAGGCGGTCGTGAGGTTCATGGCAGTGGCAGCGTTCATGGAGGCCGTGGTGTTCATGGAGGTGGTGGCTCCCAGGAAGAGCTGAGACTGAGCGGCTCACCCAGGAGCTCCACCTGTGGAGCTCAGTCTCAGCTCCTGCCAGTACTCCCAAGAGCTCTGCCACGTCCTGCCTTACGTGTACCACAGGCATCCCCCTGGCCGTTCACCAGGTCACTTGTCCCTCTGCTGCCTGGCTGGAGCCACTCTCAAGGTTTCGGCTCCCAGGCGCAGGCCCTGCAGGCAGGAGATGGCTCTCTGGGCGGCAGCTGGGTCCTGGTAGTGCAGGAAGGCCCTGCGCCGTGGGCCCTGCCAGGTGAGCCATGGGGGCTCCATGCCCAGTGCTCGCAGGGCCCTCTTGAGGTCACTCACACGGGCATCCTGGGGGAGGTTCCCCACATAAACGTCAGCCACAGGTGGGGTGCCCTTCCCCTGCAGGGAGCCATGGGCTGCCCCCTCAGATTTGGGCCCTGGCCCTGGTGCATCCTGGGGTCTCCTGCCCCCACTCGGGGAAGCTGTCAACAGATGGCCGGATCCCGGGAGATGCCGGGGCTCATCCCGGAGGGTGACGTCCTTCCCGGCCTGCTGCTCTCGGTCACGGAGGCACCGTAGTATGGGGATTTTCGCCATCATGTCACAGCTGATCTGAAAAGGGAAGCAGTTCCAGTCATTCTCAGGGTGTCCAAGGGGCACGGAGCAACACCAGGGCATCTGCCACATTCACACCCAGTTTCTGAATACCTGCCGCACTGCACAATTGAACAGGATGCCGATGGCCCAACCTGGCCTGGGGAAGCAGGCGCCTGCTCTGTAAACAGGCATCACCACCCTGTGGCTCTGTCCCACCCGGCTTGGCTGAGACCTGCACCCACCAGAGTTCCCTTGAGCCTCTGCCCCACAGGCTGCAGGATCCAGTCTCAGTTTCCTTCAAGGCTCAGAAGTAAACAAGCGAACTTCAGCCAGGACTCTACCCAGAAGAGGCACTTAAGGTTGCTGGTATTAGAGTTACAGGGTCATAGGCAGCAGCTCCCCAATGACCCCCAGGATAATGGGGGATTCTGCCTCTGGATCTGCCCCAACATGGGTCTCTGGGTGGGATGCGGTGCTGTAACAGGGCATAGGGGCCAAGCTCTGCAGGGGACAACCACAATCGCAGAAAACAGGCAGGTCTGAAAGAGAACAAGCGCTACCTCTGAAAGCATTTTCCAGCAACTGCATCAAGCTACAAAATAACAAATACGGCATAAACATAAGGCTCAACTGTGCAGGGTGACCAAGCAAAAGACATCTGTGGCTGTATCTGGACTGCCAGGCAAGGACATCTGCGTCTGTATCTTGAAGGCAGGGAAGGGCCTTGTCGTGGGGTCTCCTGAGATCTGGCAACAAGGGAGGCAGGTGAGGAGTCCCTGTAGCAAGGCCCTTACCTGCCTTCAAACACCAGTCTTTAGCGTGGGCAGTTAAGACTGCAGTTACAACCAGAGAGACTGGAACAGGCTGGAAGTGGCTGTCCTGGTGCGTCAGGGCAAGGCAGGTGACCCTGGACAGCTGTGCCTGGGCAGCAAAGGTACCGACAGACACCGCTTCACCCTTTCTGGTGATTCTCATCCTTCCGTTGGCACCAAGCTCACACATGCGGGGTCTCTAAGAGGCGGGCAGTGCTCCCCACTGGAAGTGGATGTGTCCAAACCCCTGACGGCACATCAGCTTGCTGACTGTCCATTTCTATAACAATGAACAGTTCCACTAACATCAGTGGTCTCCTGACATTCACAATAACATGCAACTTACAGCAATGGCCCTTGTGCCTGGCAGGGTGGCAGGAACCTTGTGAGAGCTGGGGTTCTTTCCCAAGGACACAGTCACAGTTCTGTGTACAACTTCCCAGGGCTGATGAAGAGTAATCATGGACCCCAGCGATAAGGGGTGCACAGGCCTCAGTTAAGAATCAGTGCACTAGAGTGAGCTTTAAAGAAATAGGCACCTAAGGACAGCTGAGCACCTTCCCGCACATCTAAAGGCTCCGAGTCCCCTTCATTCAACACCTGTTTCTATCTCCCTGTGCTAAGGAGAAAACTTCACAAAGCCTCTGCTAGGGCCAAGTCCTCTGGGATGGGGCGCTGCTCTGCTCCCTGGCACATGGCAGGTGGCAGCAGCAGACCCACGCTGGTCCTCTGAATGGCAAATAGAGGCTTGGCTGCCACGGAAAGACTTTGCAAAGAAAGATCTGCTCCTTCTAATGTTTCCCACGGGGGCATGAAGGAAAAAGATCCCGACCACGCCATGAACACAGCCACAATGGACACTGCCCTCCTCATGGCGAGGGATGGCCCCGGCACTCCACCCTGTGTCATTCTTTTGAGCGAAATCCCTGTACGCCTGCCACCAAAGCTCTGGGTCCCAGTGAAGTTCAAAGACGGCCTAAGTCCAAGCAACCCAACCCCTTTCCACACCACCCTGCTGCCTTCTCAGAGTTCAGACTCTTGTGTTCTTGTGGAATACTTAAAAACAAATTTTGTAAACTCGTCAGAATTTCAAGGATTTCTTAGGTTACTAGATCTAGTATTTAGAAGGGATGAGAGCACCTAAGACTGCAGTTACAACCAGAGAGACAGGGTGGGCATACATTTATCTGGAAGGACAGAAAGTTACTCAGCTCCGCATAACAGCAAGACCATGAAACCAGAGCATCTCATGGGGTGGGCGGGTTAGGGGCTGGGGCAGACCCTGGTAAACTTCTGCCGGGAACCACCAGGGGCTGCCACACCCAGTCTCACACCCGCAAGTCACTGTCCCCCAACCCTCCCATCTGTGTGTGATCAGGGGCGCCTTGAGCTTCCCTGCAGCAGGGGCAGGTCCTCCAGGGCGAGGCTCCACGCTCTGGTTTTTGCCATGCAAATCCCAGCTTAAAACACGTGTGTGAAAGAAGCATCAACCCTTCTGTGCACAGCACTGGGGCCACGTGGCTGTGAGCCAGCAGGCACGCCAACCACATCTCAAAGGAGGACGGCGTCGGCCACAGACAAGGAGCTAACAGGAGAGTTGCAGTGTCGGGACATGCCGCACACAGGTGCCTTTGGAGCAGAAAGGCCCCTTTGCCAGCCACGGGCAGGGTAAGGGGTGGCACGGCTCCATGCCAGCTCTCCGCATGCCCCCTCTCCCCTGCCGGCAGTGTGGCCCTGCCACTGTGCCAGCGCCGGCCCGTCTGTTGAGCTGAGGGATCTTGGCTGACCACTACGCTAGGCTGATGGTAAGTCCTGCACTCCAAGATGGCTACACTTGGGACAAGGCCACACAGTGACTCTTTTTCCTGGCTGGCAATTAGGGATAGTTGTTATATTGTGTCAATGTGTCATGTGAAATGAAAGACCTTGCTTGTTAATCAAACATCAAAACATATTTTTGCTTTTCTGTAGCTAACTCTGTTCCTACACTAACAGCACATAGTAAATTCGACTTTCTTTTATATGCTATAATCACTCTTCACTGAAGGATGTAGATGTCAGTCATTTATAAATATATAATCTCTTTTAAAGATTAAACTGGGTGGGGCATGGTGGCTCATGTCTGTAATCCCAGCACTTTGGGTGACTGAGGTGGGAGGATCACTTGAGACCAGGGTTTGAGACCAGCCTGGACGAAACAGGTGGTAAGACCCAGAGTTTCCAGAGAAAATAAAAGCCAGGTGTGGTAATGTACAGGTCTAAAATTCCAGCTTCTTAGGAGGCTGAGGCAGGACAGGAGGATCCCTTGCACCCAGGAGTTCGGGCTGCAGTGAGCTATGATCATGCCACTGCACCCTAGCCTGAGTGACAGAGAAAAGAAAAAAAAAAAAAAAAAGATTAAACTTAAAAACCTGTGTCCTGCCAGGCTCGGTGGCTCAGCCTGTAATCCCGTGCCTTTGGGAGGCTGAGTGGATTGCCTGAGCCCGCGGGTTTGAGACCCGCCTGGGCAGCGAGACCTCATCTTCTACAATAAATCAAAAAATCAGCC